AAAAATGTTGCTGTTAATTTCGGCATGTTTCAGTTTACAAACGGCGCCCCATAGAGTCTCTAGGTCTCTCATAGATCTGGTTATGTCTCTTGTAAGATTACAAGTGAATTGTTGACACAATTGTTTGACCCGACCCTTGCCAAAATCCCACCACTGTTGAAAACAAACAAAATCAGATTAATCTGATAGATTTTTTGTGACTGAGCCAAAAATACTCAAAGGCTGTATTAAAAGCTATGTCATGTAACAGGGCTGTATTGAAATGCCAGTAGGCACTCCGTACACAAACAATTTTAATGAAAACAGAACAATAAACCAGACAATGATCAGAGAAACCAAGTCTTCAAAAATACTCAAATGGTACTTAAATGAGTATATACGATTCAGTCGTTCCAAAGATAAACGATTGTCCTTAGGATGGCTCCACGTGTACTGTCTCTGACATCAATTGAAAGCCCTCCACACATCTGACAGGTCCACAGCTGCAGTCAGCTGCCTGAGCCTGCAGAGGATGCAGGATGAGGTTCTGTGTGGTTCAGTACAATTGAAATCCCCGCATAAAAACAAATACTCATCATCACAAGAATCCTTAACAGTATGACAAAGGACATTTAAAAGACCCATTCTGTCCACTCCTTTAGTTGGACCATATACATTAATAAAAACAAAATTCACATTTTCATATTTGACTTTAATTTTCAGTAAACACCCCTTGATTATTTCCCCTGCTTTGCAAGAAACAGGCAAAAAATTCTTAGAGAGAACACAATCCCCACTCCTCCAGTACAGCTGGACGTATAACTAAAAAATATGCTGCCTGCTGCCTCAGTGGGGCTACCCATGGCCTCAGCAGGCTGCGCATGGGCAATCGCCGTTTCTCCACCAGGAGCCCTAACCGGGCACCTGCTCTCCAACTGCATCATCCGCTGGCTGCATGTTTCTTAGCCTTTCTGGACAGGATCGAATTAAATGCCCTTCTCCAGCACAACCAATACATTTCATGCTCTCAGATGGAGCAAACACCATGTAATTGAAACCCTCTATTTTGAAACTGTAAGACTGGTTTAGCTCACTAGTGGTGTCCCTGAGGATCATAAAAACCTGCCTTCTGTGACGCACAACCCCAAAGAGACCATCTTTATGGGCAAGACTAGTTGGTTATACCCTGACAGCTCCTTGGCTAGAGTTTCATAAAGGAGGTGCATTTGAGATGAGGTGTCACAGTGTCGTGAATAATGGCACCTCTTTCCACCAAATCATTAACTTTAGATACCTTATCAAGAAAGATAACAATCACACCATTCATACGAGAGGCAGATTTTTTTTACTATTTAATTTGTAAAAATGTGTATACACACACACACACACACACACACACACACACACGTAGGAAAATATTTAGTATACACATCCAGAAATGCATACACTATTATATATTGTACATATATTTATTAGTTTCAGGTTGGCCATTCTTGTATTTTGCTCGTTTGTGTTGTTGTGTTTGCACATCTCTGTTGCTTGTGGGGCTCGCACACAAGAATTTCACTCGCATGTGCTGTGCCAGTGTGCCTGCACATGTGATGTGACAATAAAAGTGATTTGATTTGATTTGATTTTGTAACCTATAGCATTGCTTTGCTGCCTTGAAAATATAAACCACTGTTTTACGTCACTGAGGCATAATGGTTTTCAAATGCTACATTTCCAGCAGTGGTGTCACGGCATCTTCTGCAGGATGTAATAATTTTGAGAAGCTGATCTTCAGTGGAGGTGAAAGAACTAATGTAAAGATTTATATGCAAGTGGCCTGTATCGTTTTTTTGTATCATAATTGTTATCCAACTGTGATATTATCCAATGCCTGAAAAATGGCAGTCATCTGTGGTTCTTTCTAGATAGTGTTTAAATAGTGTAAACACATACACTGGTAATTTTATAACTTTATACAGGTGTTCTTAATATAGCACTTACTCACTACAGGATCTAAGCATGTTATTGTATCCTAAATCATAACTGAAAATGCAGAGGCAGTAATGACTTGGGATACATTAAGATCGCCTTACATCTCACAGTGAAAGGCATCCTCCGCATGTTTAGGGGTAGAATTTTCTTCCTTCTGCTTTTGAAATTGCTTCCATTGTCTCTTTCAGTATATGCTTTTTTAATTTCACAAAGGAGATCAAATTAGCTATGGCCTTCTACTTCTACTTCTAAAAGGATTTTTAGCTCCGAAACGTCTATCCCTCCTTACAACTCGTACTTTTTGGTTTCCCGACTGTTATGGGGGGGAAAAGCAAAATATATAAATGGACCTGCACAGAGACAACGAGGGGGAGGTGTGTGTGTGATTGATTTTAAAACTGTGTCTGCATTTTAGAAATCAGATTGTTTGGTATATGTATTATATATGCTGATTTAGCATGTTGATGTTTCTTTGTAATGTAAGTCGTTTTGTTGAGATTAAACTGTGTGCAGCTGAGGTATTTTTGGAATAACTATATAACTTTAAGATTACAGTCAAATATCTCCAGCAAGTGGTAAAACTCTGCTATTACACTATGGACTGTAATGACTCTCTTTGCTTTGTAAACCAACCTTGTGTACGAAGTTAAGAGGCCTATTGGCCCATCGTTGCACCCAGCTCATTTTTGATTGGTTACCTGAAAACTCCAACAACCAGCAAGGTTTTGTGAGCTGCTTCGCTTTCGTCTAGGTCTGTGATGGTTTGAGTCTGACAATCAACAGGTTAGTGTTTGACTTCGTGTGCTGTAGTTACATGCATGCTCGCATTAAGTAGGGTGTAATATCTTCAGATACATTATTCGTCTTCTTTGCTCTAGTTAACCAATTATCTACATCAGGTTTGATTTTCAGCGTCTTAGCCAATTAGCATTGTGTTAGCCGAGTTAAGGTTGAACCATAGTTTTTGAGTTGTATGCGTGCACAAGTGGGGTGTTTTTAAGCTGAAAATTGTCGTTATGTTTTTTTCAGACGTATAGCGACAATCCATCTTGTGCTCAACTCTACCACACATTCATTTTAAATGTGGCGGTTTGCATCAATGATGAAGTGACGACGTGGGAGGCGCAGTAACGAGCCAGTTGAAGCTACATGCATATTTTTTTTTTTACAATAACTTATTTTGAAGTGATAATACATACAGTAATATAGCAGTATTACACAACTGCGCTACAAAAAAAATAGGGTTAGGCAATTTTGAACAGTAGTAAATTGGAAAACCTCAGCTACGTATCAATTGTACAGACAGTTACCATGGCAACAGCTCTTAATCTCAAACGCTAGCTAAACGCATGATAAAAAAAAAAATCCCGGCGACCTCAGCTAACGCTGTCTACTACAGATTCTCTGCTTTATCGTAATCTCGTCAAAAAGCAGCTTACTCACGATACCTTATCGTTAAAGGAATCCTCTGTGTAAGGTATGACTCAAAGAATCTCGTTAGCATGACAGCTAAGTTCTGCTGTCATCCAACACCGTGATGAAGTACTCGGTGTTGCGTATTGCCTTCTGATATATGCACTCGATTATTATAGAGTAAACGTGCGAAAGCCACCTAATTCTGTATATCGGTGGTTGCATTATACCTTATAATAAGCGACGCTGTAGTGCTTAGTACTGTTTCAAGGGCTTCTAATCCGCTTTGAACGTCTTATTTTAGGGATGGGAGTGTCGGCTGTGGTTGACCTCCAGATGAGTGGCAGGTAGCGACAGGTGCTAAAGTAATGTTTTAGTGCCATATACAATGAAGAAGATATTCAGCTTCACTAAAAAGAAAAAACACCCGTTAGACACTCCAGACAGTGCAAGCAGGCTTTCTGTTGGCTATGAACTGAAAGACAAGGACCTAGGGAAGGTTCACAAGGCTGCCTTAGCGGGTGATTTGGCAAAGCTGAAGCAGTTGGCTAAGAAGAATGATGTCAATCAACTTGACAAGGAGAACAGGTAAGTGGGGATGAAAACCCTAATAAATATTTTTGCATTTTCTGGATTTTGGCACGCACTTAAATGTTAGCAGAAAGCTGCCAGCTGTACCCATACATGACACTGCCTTTTTTTCTTTTCCACTTATGTGTCAAGGTAGGATCTAGTTACCATCTACAATTAGTAGGTGTCAGAAGGAAGTGAGTGAATTGAAAATGAATGTAGTTTGGCCTGAAGAAACAGCCAACCAAAGTTGTAAAACACCTATAATCTTGGTAAGGTCTGTTAGAACAACAGTGCTTGCATATGTAACACTCTTTTTTTTTTTTTTTTTACTGTTGCAGAACCGCACTGCATATTGCCTGTGCTAGTGGTCATGTCGAGGTGGTACACTTCCTCGTTGAGAGCAAAGCCAAGCTTAACCTATGTGACAATCAAAATAGATCTGCCTTAATGAAGGTAATCTTGGATGATGCCGCTTCAAGTTGGTGACTCTTAATAAACTGTAAAAATTAATTTTTCCTCACGTCTTGTTTTGGCCCGTTAATGTTAATTCTCATCTAATAACAGGCAGTTCAGGGCCAGCATGACAACTGTGTGAGCATACTGCTGGAAAATCATGCTGACCCTAATCTGATGGACATCAATGGCAATACGGCACTACATTTAGCGGCAAACATCCCATCCGTCCCCACTGCTGTCCTGCTGCTGCAACATGGGGCTCAAATCAATTCCCAGAACAAGGTGGCTTTTTTCTTTCTGTCCCCTACTTTGCAGTTTCTCTGCTTTAGGGTGAACATCAGGATACTCTTCAGTGCGTATGGAAGGCACTGTCCAGTGGGCAAGAATTTTAACTGTGATTTTAACTGTAATCTATATTTTAGGAGGGTTTCACACCTTTGATAGTAGCAGTGCGAGAGAACCATATTGAGATGGCTCAGTTTCTCCTCAAGGAGACTGCTGATGTGAATTCTGTGGATCAAGATCAAAGGTTAAGCGATGACACCTTTGTGATTCACTTTGGATTATGTTAATGTGTGTTACTCATTATTTGGCATGGTTGAACATGTTGCTGCAATTGATTTTTACCTGCAGGTCCCCATTAATGATAGCTGCTGGAAATGGCGAAGTCTGTATGGTAAAGCTGCTCCTGCAGTTTGATGCAGATACCACACTAAAGGATACCAAAGGATGTTCAGCTGATAACTATGCAGGAATAAATGGGCATCACTCGTAAGCACACTTTTTCAAAAGAATATGTCTTTGTGCTTGTATATGGGTATTTCTTCTGTAATTTATACATTTATGTCAGATTTTAATACAGAAATGAAATAAACTAAATAGCCAAAGCCCACAAATGGGTTGTAATAATTTATTTGTGATGTTATTTTATTTTAATAATTTATTAATGTTTCTCCTTAACTCTTAGTTTGCTAAAGTTTCTCAGCAGTCATGACGTTATGACATTTTGGGTCTCTCCTCTCTTTTTGTCAGTTGTTCCCACCTGATCATAGAGCATGATACCCAGCGTTCGGACAGGGCTTCCCTATCACATCAAGATCTGAGCAAGAAGAAGAAAAAAATGCTGAGTGCTCCTTCCCAAGATCTTGAAGCAGGCTTCTCTTTGGGAGGACCAGCCACTGACAGAGATGGTATGCAATTTATTTTATCACATCAAAGCCACTGAAAATCATTATTATCATGTCTATTAATAATTGACTTTGGTCATTTTACTTATTCCTCATGCATTACCTCTTGACTGGCTCTAGAGCATGGAGCAGATGAAGCAGGGAAAGGTATTGCTTTCCTTAGCTAGACTTCGTTAGCAAAATCTGTCTGTTTTTTGTCCCCTTTTTAAAACCATTAACAGCTATGGGGATGATTATTAAATACAGTGGGGCAAAAAAGTATTTAGTCAGCCACCGATTGTGCAAGTTCCCCCACCTAAAA